GCACCCAAACAGTCTTTTATGAAACTCAAACAAGTTCAGACACCTTCCAATATATAAACTATGTATAATAAGAATTTTGCTTTATCACCGAAGGTTTCTTATAATAGTACTGTAGTACATGGAAGGAAAGAGAGGAGGTGTTAGCAAATATTACTAAAGAAATTCTCTATTCCTTAGGTGTTATTTGACAAAATCCTGCCTTTGATGCAGAGTTTGCAGAAGGTCAAAATGAAGGTATATACATAATAGATGTAATAATGCCCCTTATTCGAAGTGCACTAAAAAGACTTCCAGTCAAGAAGCATTCTTTTCTTAGCACGTAAGTTTGATAAAAATTTTATTTATTAAATAAACAAGCAACTAATTTATATATATTTTTTATTTTTTATTTCAGGGCTGAAAGATAAAGCTTAGCTAGTACTGATAGAAGGGCAGTTGATGGAAACCAGGGTAAGTATCCTGATATTATGCTTATAGAAAAGCATCATAAGAAGCTACATGAACTTCTATTTGCTGAATATTCTCATCTGAAAAGTAAAAAGAAGAGGATGGAGTAAAATTATGGTGAGAAATGAACGACAGAATGTATTATGTTCACAAAACCTGTAAGCCCGATAAAGATGAATTTGGGATCATATCAGTATACAAATTGCGAGTGATGAAATGTGTTTAAATGTTCTCATTAGAGATAGAGATGACATTCATCGGCTTTATTATATTCTGTTAAAATTCCAGTAAGGCTATGTAATGATTATGTTTTGTAGAAGCACTTTTACTTCTACAAAACATTTTGATTGTCAATTTATCTTTATTACAACATTCATTAAAAATTAAGTCCCCAAGAAATAAGCGAAAAAGTTCCAATGTAACTACTGGATAAAAAACTAAGTCCATTTTATATAGAACAATAGAATATATTTTTTAGAATTTTATTTTATTTTTATATCAATAAAGCTGTCCCTAGTGGTCGAATTTCACATACACAATCGTGTTTACTTTTACATGTGTATTTCATAAATTTATTTTATTGTATTGTTATTAATGAACATATACGATTGAGAATTTTTTTGGTAAATTGAACGACCCGAGATCTGCAATTTGATTTTTGTTTTAACTCGAAAATTTAAATAAATAATATCTTATATGAAACAATGATAAATACACTATCCAAAATTAATTTGTTAGAAAAACAAATTTCAAGCTTATTATAGAGGTAGTAAACTTAAAACAAAGTATGCTGGGTTGAGACAGAGAATATCGAAGCTAAAGCTGAGAATGAGAAGCTAAGGTGGTTTATGAAAGAGAATACTAAGCTTAAAACCAGAATTAAGAAGTTAAAGAAAAATAGAGTAGATACTACTATTGAAAATGCTAAATTTAAAGCTAGAGTTGTGAAATTAGAACAGAAATTTGAACTTCAGCTAGAAGACAGTGATAATTCTTATAGGAATATTGTTAATATATTCAACCCTTATTAGGAAATGTTTTAGATAGATTATTATTATTAATATATAACAAAAAAAAATAATATATATTGATAAACCTGTTGTAAAATAATATACAGTATACTGTATTTATAATTGATAAATATTAATTAACAAATATAAATCATTAAATATCTGTTAATTCATGATTTATAAGAGATGTACAGAATTTTTTTTTGTTAAGGTGGCCTCTTTGGCTATATTTTTTTATTAGAAACTTGATTTCAATTACAATACGTAAGAGTATAACTAGCTATATGTGTGATTTTTGGTTACTTATTTAAGTAGCCTACTCTAAATATATTTATACTAGTTATATTAATAAGAGTACAATTAGCTGGGTTTTACACTAGCCACTATATCCAGTGTTGTGCATAGAATGTGTCCAAACTATGTAAAATTACACCAAGCTGATTTTTATTTAACACAAGGCCATACAATTTAATTACTTGGTTTTCATAACATGAAACTTTTAAATAGACCCGGCCGGCCGGCTTTTTTTTTTAAATTTCATA